AAAACCCAGCCTTTTCTAATTAACATCCTGTGGCTGCTGCCACTTCTCTAGCCTGTTAACTCTTAGTACATTTCCTGCCTGAGTCATGCATTGAATGTGGACCCATGTTATGACTGTTGTAGCTTATCTACAGTTGGTTTTTAAACCACAGTCCAGTTCTAGGATCTAGGCAGTGCCCCTTTTACATTGTCTTATTCTCTAATCCTTAAATGGTACCTTGAGGGCCAGCTAGTAACATGGTGTTCAAGATGGCTGGATCCCACATGACCAATGCACAACTGGAGTCCCAGATCTGGAGGATTGAAAAACATGCCAGGTATGTGTGTGTACATGCTCAAAATCCAAGAGGAGAATAGAGAAGGGATGACCATACCTCTTGGGGTGATTTCTCTGTCTGTCTGTCTGTCTCTCTAGTAAGTACATGCATCCTATAGCAAAAACAAAATAAAAATGGTACCTTGAAAAGGGAAGTGCAGAACCTTTCACTTAAAACTTCAATATTTGGGGACCAGCCATTAGCGTGTTGGCTATGTTGCTGAACTCCCATGTAGCCAACCACGGTTCGAGTCCTGGACCCGGTGGCTTAAGCTCACGCCGGGCACATGTGCGTGCGTGCCCAAGATCCCGAGAGGAGAATGGAAGAGAGGGGATTGTGGCATGGCCATCCCCCCTGGGGGGTGATTTCTCGCTTTCTGTTTCTCTGTCTCTGTCTTTCTGGTGAGCACAGGCACCCTATAGCAAAAGCCTTAAAAAAAAAAATCACTTCAATATTTGTGGATTGACAGGCATTGGAGTGCCAGTTATTAGGTATTGTTGCTAATGAATAAAACCAGAGGGAGGAAGGAGAGAGGGATGGATAAATAAAACAGTCCAGTTTCTTCCTTTCCTATCTAGATCTAGGCTTGACCTAAGGAACGAGTGTCCTTAGTGGGTTCATCTCTTGTACATTCTTTAACCTGCTAGGAATAGATGAGGATCCGATTGGCCTGGAATCAGTGCCAAGCATTACAATAGGCACTCCTCTGCCCTCCTGGACGCCTGGGCCCACTCTGGAGAGATGAAGTGTCACTTGAATATCTCCTGGTGGTAGCTAATATTCACTGAGCACTTTCTGGGTACCAGATATTATCCTACGTGGTTTAGATGAATTCGCTCATTCGACTCTCAGAGCGATCTTATAGGGTATATACTATTAGTATCCCCATTTCAGAGCTGAGGGTTAGGAAATGTTAATTAGCTTTTCTAAGATCACACAGCTACTGAAGGCGGAGAGTGTGTGCAACCCTGGCAGCCTGATCCTGGGCCTGTCATCTTCACCACTAGCTCATGTCAGTTCATGTTTTTAGGGGCCCTTTTTTCATTGCTCAGTTCTCTCCTCTCCTAAGATAGGAGGAGGTCAGGGCCAAGAAGAGAACACTTCTGGTTGCTTTTTCACTTACTCAGGTTACCTAAATTCCTTCCTCATGGCCGAAGTTAGCCAGGATGTGGCCCATCTTTTCTTACATTTATCTGTATATGTTAACCACAAAGAAAACTCATTTTTCACAGCCAAATTTGAGTGATTAGCAAAGAACCATACATATAATGTAACAAGTTTTGCTTTATGCAAGACATCTGTCTCGCAGCAGCCTGAAAACCACACTACAGCTTCCTCTTTACTTTTGAAGTGAATGCACAGCATTTGTCACTCAGCTTCTGAGTAACTTCAGTAACTCCGCCAGGAAAGGTCCATTCTGGTCCAAATGGCTCACACGCCGTACGTGGTATTTTTCTTTCTTCTGCTGAGTAAGTTTTATAATTCTCCATGTTTCTATTGTCACAGGAGCTGGTCAGCTGAGGCTGCTGGGTGATGAAGCAGGACAGTTTGGTTTCTGCAGGAACGAAATGCCATGTCATTCTGGTTTTGGCAATGATTTCTGACTTGGGTAACAGTTCTTGGCTCTTGGCTCCCTAGACCTCCTTAAGTCCCAAGGAGGTACAATGCTTGGTTGAGTCCAGTACACCTGACTCCATTGTATGTTTATCTGTGTTGCCAGATCGGTCAGTTTCACTTGGCCTTGGCTTTGCTTCATCTTCCTGAGCAGACCATCCCAAGAGAGAGTAAAAGGCTTTGCTCACCAGGCTGAGAAGAGATCTTAAGATGTGCCTGACAGTAGAGCTCGGCTCGAGGATGGGGCTGGATGGAAGGAAAGGCTATGGGAGCACTTAGTACTTTTAGGCCAAGCTAAAAGAAGGTTCTCTTGTGAGCTGATGTGGACATTGACTAGGGGGAGACTGAGACGGGCAAGAATATGCATGTGGTTCTGCTGAGGGCTGTATGGAAGACCTGCTCTAGCTCAAGGGCATTCATAGAGGGTGGCAGAAGGGGAGATTTGGAGGTTGAAGAGAGACTCAGATGAATTGGGGAGGGAATAAAATAATTTCAGACCAGGTAGATCTGGTAGCAGATACTTTTGGTGCTGTTGCTTTGTTAGCTTCTGGTCCCAGATCTGATCCTATGGCATTTGGTAAAGCTTATCAATCCCATCTCAGAATAATTTCTTACATGCATAAAATAAAATGCACAGAATTATAGAGAAAAAACAATCTTATTGAAATATAGTTATCAAAGTATTTTAATGAATTGTGAGGTAGTAATTGATTACGTTCTTTAACAGGTCAAATATGAGCCATTTTGTATGGTTCAAGCTAATAGAATCCATTCAAATAACATTGAAAAATGGTGACTTTGACAATCTCAGTGACTTTATTTTTATTCGTGTATTTATTTTAGTTTTTTTGCCATAGGGCATGTGAGCCTACCAGAGAGAGGCAGAGACACAGAGAGGGGGGGAAGTAAGATATCACCCTCCTTTTTGGGGGGTGGTCACACAGCAATCCCTTCTCCTCTTGGGATTTTGGGTACACAGACACACACACACAGACACATACACACACACCCCAATGTGTTTTCAGGCCACTGGGTTTGGGAATCAAACTGCAGAGCCAGCCATATGGCATCCAGCACCTTAACCACCATGCCACTTGCTGACCCCTAGCTCAGTGATATTTTTGAAGAAAGCCAGTACTATCAAGTAATTCTTAGTATTTCAAAAGCAGGACTCCAAGTTTTGGCAAACATCAAAGCAGTGATAAGTAGGAATACTATTTCAATATAGCTGTGTAATTATAATGAGATGTGAACATATCTGTGGGGTTTTTTGTCTATTTTTGAAACTGAAGGAAATACAAAATTTCTGTTAGAGATTAATGAAAATAAAGATGTGGGAGTTTTTTTTTTTTCACCCTAGTTTATGGACTCTTATCCCCTATATGGATCCTGGTTAAGAATTCTTGCTTTAGGAGAGACTAACTGCAGTTAGTACAGGGACTTGAATGATTGATTGGCATGATGGGGGAACTAACAAGTTGTAATTAGGTGGCCAGGGCTGTGGCTAAAGGATTAAAAAGAGTAGCGTTCAGCACAAAGGGGTCACTACTCAATAAGCCTTGGCTGAGTGGAACTGGGCTCATGTGTCAAGGGGCATCATAGCTGGGGTCCAGTGAGGTGTGAGGTGGCCTTCAGGGGTGATGGGTGACGGACACCTGCCAGACTGGCTTGGTAGGTGCTGATGGAGAAGTGCAATGGTGGGATCCTTTGGGAACTGCTGTGTTTCTTTCTCTGTTTTCCTTTGGGAAACTGGTGTTCAGTTGTCTGAGTGTGATTCTCAAGCATATGTGCTTTGTGTACTTGGACCGTATGCTTGCTTGTGTATGGGGGGCACGGGGCTCACACTGTAATTCAGAGAATTGCAAATTCTCTTCCTCTCTTTTTATTTTAGTGTTTTAGTGAGCAGACTGCAAAAAAGGGAAGCTAGAAGTTTTTCCTTAACCCACTTAAACAATTACCTACACTGGGTTACGTATTTATTTCTCCTAAATTCTGACTCATCGTAAGCACTAATTTTGTATAAAACCACAATTTTTATGTGAAGAGTACATAAGTCAAGAAGTAATTTGAAAAAAGCTTTGGAAGCCTGTTAGTTGTCACTATAAATAAGGGAGAAATGAAAGAAATTAATTAAATGATGAATAATTAATCAATTATATTGTTTAGCAAATGTGTATTTTGTTTCAATTTATTTCTTTTCAGTAAATATAAAGACTCAGTGATCCTGTTAGAATGAGGCTAATGTCGTGAGCAAATGAATGTTCTCCTTTAGCGCTGGTTTTGCCTGCTTGATCTGTCACCCCTCACCCTGACAATTAATTGCCCTACAAATAAAGGCTATTGCCGTGACAGGGTTTGGGGTTGGGCTATTGTAACTGCTTACCAAAATTGCATTTAAAAAAAAACAAAAACAAAAACAAAAAACCTAAATTTGACCTATCAGTATATAGGGTTTTCACATGTGAAAAGAAAGGTTTTGAAATTACTGTTTGTTTTTTTTTTTTAAATATAAAAAGTGGTCAAATATGAGCCATTTTGTATGGCTCAACCTAATAGTTTCCACTCAGATAATACTGAAATGGTGAATTTGACAATCTCAAGTGATATTTTTGAAACAAGCCAATAGCATCAAGGAATTCTTAGTATTTGAAAAGCCAGTGTTAGTATGTCACTGTCAAGTTGTGACTCACCAGTCAACAAGGGTTGGAGTTAGTTTGCAAAGATACCCTACCCTCTGTCCACTAACAGAGAGAGTTCCAGTGTTTTACTCCTTAGGAGGAAAAGAGATGTATCTTTGAAAAAGCCCACAGATGGGGCTGGCAGGTGTCAGGGTAGTTAAGGGTGCTGGACTCCCACATGACCAACTGTGGTTCAAGTCCTGGATCTGGCAGCTTGCTTTCTCTCTCTCTCTCTCTCTCTCTCTCTCTCTCTCTCTCTCTCTTGCTCTGCCCCTCTCTGGTCAGATTAAAATAGAAAGAAAGAAAAGGAAAGAAAAGAAGAGAAAGAAAAGAAAAAGAAAGGAAAAAATTAAAGTAATTCTTTATAAAAAGAAAAGAAAAAACCTACAGAGAATATGTTTATAAGCTCCAATGTATGGCCATTTGAATTCATCTCTCAATCATGCCTTTCTCCTTCAAAAGTACCTGTGAAGCACCTCCCCCCTTTTTCTCGCACTTTTCTGACAATGCAGTATGTTTCAGACTGTTTGAGTACAAAAGTACCACAAACCAGGAATCTTAGAAACAGCACTGTATTTCTCACAGTGCTCAAGGCTGGAAGTCCAGGATCACGGTGTCAGCAGATTGGGTATCTGCTAAGGCCCCCTACCTCCTAGATGGCACCTCTCACCCTGTCCTCACACGGCGGAAAGGACTGACTGGCTCTCTAGGTTCTTTTAGAAGAGCATTAATGATCAAATTACCTCCCAAAGACCCCACCTGGAGACCATCAACTTGAGAGTTAGGATTTGATTCAACAAATGAATCTGACGAGACACAAACATTTGGACCAGAGCACAGAACCCTCTACCCAATAATGTTCTTGACCTACCTCTGCTAGGTCCTCACTCCACTCACCATCCTTTCCAGCATCATCCATCTCTACCCCTCTACTGCCGCCTCTGCCCATGAACATGTGACGTGCCCCGTCCATCCTGCCCTTCACTACTGCTCCTCACCTAGCTCTCCTTCCCTTCCACTTCTCCATGAAACCTCTACGATAGTCTATACTTCCTGCAACCCTTACTCTAAATAGTCTACACTTCGTGCAACCACTCCCTAAACCTGCTGACTCTGCTCTATTCAGATCTCTTTTTTTTTCTTTGGAGAGATTTTCACTGTAGGTCGCGTGTGCTCGCCAGACAGTCAGAGAGAGACACAGAGACAGAAAGCGAGAAATCACCCCCCAGGGGGGATGGTCACGCCGCAATCCCCTCTCCTCCATTCTCCTCTCGGGACCCTGGGCACGCACGCACATGCACCCAGCGTGAGTTTCAAGCCACCGGGTCCGGGACACGAACCGCGGTCGACTACGTGGGAGTCCAGCGACATAGCCATTACGCTAACTGCTAGTTCCCTATTCAGACCTCTTTTATAAAGATCTCCACGGACACCTCCATCCTCAGAAGGAATTTCCTCTGCCTCTAGAGTTCCCGACCTCTCAGCAGCAGTGCTGAGAAAGTCTTGCCTTTTAGTCACCTCCTTTGGTTTCCCACCCACTGTGTCCTGGAAGCCCTCCCACTTCCCCAACTCTTCCTTCCTTTACCTTGTCATAATCTTCCCATTTCTCCAAAGCGTCTTTCTAAGCCATCTCCTTCATAAACTTTACCTATTTTCTCCTCCCTAAATGTAATCTCTCTTTAAATTCCTCAAAGCACTTTAGTGACATCTTCAGAGAGGTAACTACTACCCTCCTCGACTAGATAATAAAATCTCAAAGTCAGATCCAGCCACTCCACAGTACTGATCAGGGTTTGAATCCTAGGTCCACTTAAAAATCATGCTGGGTGTGTGTGTCCAGTAACCCTCGCTGGCTGGAGGATGTGAGACCCTGCCATAGGTAGGTCTCTCTCTCTCTCTCTCTCATTTTTACATTCTCTCTTTTGCATGAAAGAAATAAAGTAAACTTTTAGAAAAAACTGGAAGTCAGCGTCTATCTCAATCTCACCTTAGTTCCTCATGCATGGGAAATACAATGTGATTGAATAAATATTTATTGAATTGGCAGATAAAGCATAGAAATTGAAGTGCTAGTTTTCACAATAAAAAGCCTAAAATGCGGTACCCATCTCTCTAAAAATGTTGAGTAAGTGATGCCTAGCCACCAAAAATAGCATCATTTGAGGAAACATGCCCTCATATAAATAGATTAGTGGTACCACAAAAGTCATATTTTTAAAAAACAGCTTTATTGTGAAACATAACACCTAAGTGAACATTAATAAAACATAAAAACTAAATGTGCAGCTAAACAAGTAAGTGTAAAGTAAAATCTATGTAATCACTACCAGATCAAGAAATAGAATGTTGTCGGGACCAGCAGATGGCACAATGGTTACATCACTGGACTCCTACATAGTCAACCGTGGTTTGGAGTCTGAACCCAGTGGCTTAAAACTCACTCCGGATGCATGTGCATGCATGCCCAAAAGAAGAACGGAGAAGAAGGGATTGCAACATGGCCTTCCTCTGGGGGGTGATTTCTTGCTTTCTGTCTCTCTGTCTCTCCATGAGCACATGTTCTCTATAGCAAAAATCTCTCTCTAAAAGAAAGAAATAGAATACTGTCAGGACCCTAGAAGCACTCGCTCATCCTGCCCTGTACTTCACCAGATCACAAACCCTCCCCTGACACAATCACTTCCCTGACTTTCACGATAACCACTTCCTTGCTTTTTTTGCATCACTAAACAAAAATGTGGTTTTGCCTGTTTTTAAACTATAAACAGTAGAATCCATCTCTCTGTATAGTCAATAGGATTTCGAAGTATTTTGCATCTTTTATTAAACATAGTCACCCATGTTATTGCAAATAGCTATACTTTGTTAACTTTCGTTTCTGCATACATCTCCAGTTTAGGAATGTGCCAGAGTTTATCCACTCTGCTGCTGATGACATAGGGTTAAGGCTCTGGTTGGGGGCTCCAGCGAACAGTGTGGCTGTGCATTTTCTTTCACATGTAGCCTGGTCCAGAGTTCATGCATTTCTCTAAGATGGCATTGATGAAGTGTTTTTTTTTTTGGTTTTTTTTTGGAGAGGTTTTTGCCATAGGGCACGTGCACTTGCCAGATAGACAGAGAGAGACAGAGAGACAGAAAGTGAGAAATCACCCCCCAGGAGGGATGGCCACACCACAATCCCTTCTCTTCCATTCTCCTCTCGGGATCTTGGGCGCACACGCGCCTGGCGTGAGTTTTAAGCCACCGGGTCCGGGACGCGAACCGTGGTCGACTACATGGGAGTCCAGTGACATAGTCATTACGCTAACTGCTGGTCCCAATGAAGTGTTTTAAATTGCCTCTGTAAGTGTAACTTTTTGGTAAATAATAATTTGTATTTTTCTAAGATGGTCCAACTTTTATGCTTAGATAATTATTTTAAAAGGCATGATATAAATATAATTGGAATTCGTGAATAAATTAGTGTACTTTTTTAAATTGCAAAATAATGTGTGTACTTGCCAGAGAGAGAGACTCCATCCCATGATCACGTTGCAACCCTTTTTCCTTCATTTCGCCATCCCATCATACATACATATTAGTCATGTGGGATCTGGCTCCCTATACACAAGGTTTAACCACTGTACCACAAGGCCAGCCCCAAGTTAATGTGTTTTAAATCATCACCAGAAATGTGTGTGCTTGGTCAACAGGTTAGTTGGGTGTTCATTTGTTTACCGGTTTTAAATTGAGCATATACACATGCAATTTTTAGTTATTGCCTCAGGTGACTACTTAGCCTTTCTGTTCCTCCCTCTCCCTCTGTCCCCCCCCCCTTTTTTTTTTACCGGGCTTGTTCCTATTTCCTAGAATTTGTTCATTTGTTTAATCCAGAATTCCAACACCTGGCTTTACCATGGTCTCTGTAATGTCATTCCCCGCCCCCCTTTTCCTCACTTTTCTTTTTGCACTGCAGTCTCTTTTTCCCTTTGTCCTGAGAGAGTCACAGAATTCAGCAGATGCTCTGCTCCTACCACATCTTCCTATAAATGCCATTCCATTAACTCCCTGACACCAGAGATCGCTCCCTGCTGGATCCTTCTGCTGTCTTTGACAGTCTTTCCTGTCCATGGGCCCTGGGATCCTAGTAAAAGATCCAGCTACTCTTTTATTTTTGGAGAGGTTTTTGCTATAGGGCGCATGTGCTCACCAGACAGACAGACAGAAAGCGAGAAATCACCCCCCAGGGGGGATGGCCACTCCGCAGTCCCTTCTCCTCCATTCTCCTCTCGGAATCTTAGGCACGCAGGCACACGCGCCCGGCGTGAGTTTTAAGCCACTGGGTCCGGGATGCAAACTGTGGTTGACCACATGGGAGTCCAGCAACATAGCCATTACGCTAACTGCTGGTCCCAAGATCCAGCTACTCTTGTGGTATCTGTCATTTGTCATTGTTCTTTCTGTCATATAGAATGAACCACCTTTAATATGAATCACAATAAGTATACATAAATTTTTTATTTCTATAATATGTTTCATTTGAAAAATTTATCAAGTTAACTATTCAATCATGTTTTCTCCTTTAGACCCAATATTTGAGATTTTTTCCCAATCGAACACATTCCATAATGGTCCCAGCTGACCCTTTTGGTAAGAAAAGAACTTAAATTCTGATCGCAGAACCTGCTAGAGTTTACAGCCATTTATTTCAAAGCTCTTTGGTAAAGCTATAGTGGCTATTTCAGAAATTACAAATCAAAAAAGAACCCTCTGGTGTAGAAAGGAAGTGCTGTGACCCTTTCAGATGCTAATTTTAAATAGTCTGGCATCCAACCTAACCAAGGTTCCACAAATAGTTTGAACCAACTAGCGAGAAAAATCCCAGTACCCTCACAGAGATGTAGACTTTGCGTCTCAGGAAACCACTTCTGTGGGGGAAACACTCCATTGCAGGTACCCTGGAATTTGAGACTTGAGAAAGTGTATGCTGAATTTTCCCACAAAATAACATAAATGGGTGATTATCATACATTGTCTTTGCTTTAAAAGATGTGCACTTAGGTAAACAAATATGTTTTATTCAAGTGGTCATGTTACATTGAAACTATGCTTTTTTTTTTTTTTAAAGACCAGCCATTACTATGGAAACTAAAGTTATAAAAGAACAATGAACTCATCAAGCCGTTCCACTGCTGCTGGGTCTGAAGAAGATGAACATTTGAGTTGATGATAGCTAATAACCTGCGATCTCATTTACCAGAATTGTAATACAGGGAACAACATAATGTGCTACATTGGGAGCTGGAGTGCTAATCTATTTTTATTCCCCTTTCTTTTTCCTACTTGCAAGCTGAGCTCAGCATTGGCCAAAGAGAAGTAACAATTCAGAAAGGACCGCTGTTCAGAGCTGCAGGTTACCCAGTCAGCATCAGCTGTAATGTAACCGGGCACCAGGGACCTTTGGAGCAGAATTTCCAGTGGTCTGTTTACCTGCCAACAGCCCCAACCCAGGAAGTCCAGATCATCAGCACCCAGGACGCCACCTTCTCTTATGCCATGTATGCACAGCGCGTGCGAAGCAAGGGAATCTACGTGGAGAGGATCCAAGGCAACGCAGTCTTGTTCCACATCGCAGAGCTCCAGATGAAGGATACTGGGGAGTATGAGTGTCACACACCGAGCACGGATGAAAAATACTATGGAAGCTACAGTGCCAAGACTAATCTAATAGGTGAGCTGCTTGTCTACTGCTAGCCAGTCCCTCAGAAGCCAGAGTCTCCACCATCACGGTGACTTACAAGGTGACATTGCTTCATGGTGGTGTTTGCTTCGGGAACAAAGCCCACCTACTCTCTAGATATTTTGGAGATTTGTCACACATAGCTTATCCCATATTCTAAAACCGCCAGTTCGTTTTCCCCAGTCATATTTACCATAAAGGTTTAGATAGTACGATGTCTTTCCAAGGCCTCATCTTCAGCTAGCCATAGGTTGGTGATAGCAAGCATTTGCCAGAACTTTGAGGATTCTCCCCATGACATCTCTTTTTCAAGGCAAAACATTAAGTTAATAAGAGAGGTAGTATTAATATCACAGGCAGTAAGTCATTAGCTTGGAAATGAAGATTCCCAAACTACCATGCGGTATCCTATTTAGCGATAGGAAGAGAACCATAGTTTTGCGACTGTCATTTTATCTCTGTCTGAAATATCTGTCATTCTCTTTTTTAACCTAGCAAAGCCCTACATATACTCTGGAACCCAGTTTAGATATTGCCTGTTGTATGGACCATGTCCTGAATTCCGTGGGCCATGTTCCAGCTTTATTTTCCTCCTGATGCTCTTTTTCACACCATTGTTATCAGTACTCACCTAGTTATGTGGTCACTGGTTGTGCGTACGCCTCTCTCCCACCCTACCTAGAGTTCGAGTTCCTCAAGGAGAGAATGCTCATCTCAGCTCCTAGCATAGTGGCTAGCACTGAGTAGATATGCAGTAATATTCATTGCTTAAATCTAAGTGTTGCTTTCACATAAGTTTAGGCTGTGTGATTTCACTTCAAGACAAAGAGAATGATAAGAGAATAGGAACATTACCAAAACTTTGGTAAGGATTGCAATTGAATGATAAATTAGAACAGATTATGTTGGAACTTTATTCTATAAAGGACAGGTTAAGGCCCAGAAGGGGAAGTGATATACCCTAGTTCATATAGTCAGATGAGGAAAGATTTAGGATTAGAATCTAGGACTTATAGCTCCCAGTTCTTTTCTTTTTTAAATACTCTGTGTCCAGATAGCTAAATTGGTTAGAACCTATGTGACTGAAGCAAAGTCAGGGTCAATACATCAGGAACCATTTGTCTCACTGGGTTCCATAGAGTGGACACAGATGCCAGTGATCCCATTAGCAATAGGGAAAGCACAGATAGGAAAGCCAATGGCTAGTGGAAAACCAGCTCCAACTCTGCTTTACAGATGGGGGCCAGGGTGCATCTCCACCAAGGAGGCTAACTGGACTAGCATTGGGGTAAGTTGTCATCGTCTCTTTGTTTCCAGTTATTCCAGATACACTCGCGGCCACCATGAGTTCTCAGAGTCTCAATAAGGTGGAAGGTGAGCCATTAGAACTCACTTGTGAGGCTTCCAAAGCCACAGCTCAACATACCCACCTCTCTGTCACCTGGTACCTGATCCAGGATGGAGGAAGAAGCCAAGCCACCAAGATTATTTCTCTCTCCAAAGATTTTATGTTGATTGCTGGCCCTGCTTATACTGAGAGGTTTGTAGCCGGTGATGTGCGGTTCGACAAGCTCGGGGTCACCACCTTCAGGCTGTCCATACAGAGGCTCCGGTCCTCAGATCAAGGTCAGCTGTTCTGTGAGGCAACTGAATGGATTCAGGATCCAGATAAAACCTGGACTTTGATCACAAAAAAGCAAACAAATCAAACAACTCTGAGGATCCAGCCAGTAGGTGATTATCTTCTCAGGAAATTCGTCAATACTCTGGTATTGGGTATTACGGGGTGTCTTTTTTTTTTTTGGAGAGATTTTCACTATAGGGCACGTGCACTCGCCAGACAGACAGAGAGAGACATAGAGACAGAAAGCGAGAAATCACCCCCCAGGGGGGATGGCCACGCCACAATCCCTTCTCCTCCATTCTCCTCTCGGGATCCTGGGCACGCACGCACACGCGCCCGGCGTGAGTTTTAAGCCACCGGGTCCGGGACGCGAACCGCGGTCGACTACGTGGGAGTCCAGCGACATAGCCATTACGCTAACTGCTGGTTCCCTATGGGGTATCTTTTTTCTTTTTTTAAAAAAATCTTTTGTTGGCTCTTAAAAGTGTTTAGACAGTTTGAGGAAATTCTGTTTTTGTCATCTGGGAAGCATAATTAAGAAGAAAATGTTCAGTTTGGGCTTTGGTTTTTGTTTGTTTGTTTGTTTTTGAGAGGTTTTTCACTATAGGGCGCGTGCACTCGCCAGACAGACAGAGACATAGAGACAGAAAGCGAGAAATCACCCCCCAGAGGGGATGGCCACGCCGCAATCCCTTCTCCTCCATTCTCCTCTCGGGATCTTGGGCATGCATGCACACACGCCCAGCGTGGGTTTTAAGCCACCGGATCCGGGACGCAAACCACGGTCGACTACGTGGGAATCCAGCCACATAGCCATTACGCTAACTGCTGGTCCCTGGGCTTTGGTTATAGGAACTTTTATATAAGATCTGTAAATGGTTAAATTGATTTCACAAGCCAGTCTTGGAAATTATTTTTTATTTTTAAATTTTTATATATTTATTCTCCATAAACGACAGAGGCAGTGACAGTGACAGAGATAGAGAAACAGGTATCCCCCAACAGAGTCCCGACACTGCAATCCACCCCTGGTCTCAGCCAGCCCCAAGCACGGGCACACACATTCATGTTCAGCATGCTCAGGGAATTCTTGGGACTTGAACCTAGGACCTTTCCCGTATGAGTCCAGCCATGCTACCTCTGCACCACCACCTGGTCTGAAAGTAGATTTGTGACCATATTCACCAGGCTCTGTATAAGTACACTATCTACACTACCTTACTTAATTCTAACGACCATGAGGAAATAATAGATTTCCATTTTTAAAATGAGCAACCGGGGCCAATAGGTGGTGTGGGGATTAGGACGCTGGACTCCCACATGGCTGACCACAGTTTGAGTCTCAGACCTGGTGGCTTGCTATCTCACTTTCTCACTTGCTCTCTCTGTCTCTCTGTAATCAAATTTACAAATAACAATGATGATGAAGAAGAAAGTTAAATAACATAATTCTTTTTTAAAAAATAAAATAAAATAGAGAGAAACCTGAGCCTCAGGCACGGAGATGCTCTGCCCAAACTCACTGGCAGGTGAGAGATGGGGCCGGCCTTTAGTCAGGTCTGGCTCTCTCCAAAGCCCACTCACCACAGATACCTGAGCCTCAAAGTAACTCCAGCTTCCAACATGAAGTCTTGCCTTTGTCACTGCGAGAGTTTCTTCCACCTGACCCCTTCTCCAACTTGGAATGGTGTCACTCTTCATAATCTGTTAAACATTGTGGATTAAGAGTAAAATTCAAAATCTGTTTTCATCAAAGTAAACAGAAAGGCCTTGTCTCTGATGTCTGGTCTCTCTATAGGCTTTGGCCCAACAGGAGAGAGTGCTAAAACCATATCAGTATATCCATTCCTAACCGATGGTCCAGGAGTGGGTTGCTGAAGTTGTCTTTCCTTTTAAAGAAGAGTGTTATTTTGTTCCATTTTAAATCGTCCTGTTGGCCTCATGTCTCCAAGTTAATCCAGTGAGTCCTGTGGAGCCACATGCATGTGCTTTTAATTAGGAAAATTCTGGATAGTCTCAGCAAAATAAGAATTTAAAAAGAAAAAAAAAATCACACTTTATAGCAATTGAACATAGTTTAAATATTCTATTTGTTAGTTTAAAAAACATACATTACTATATGCTTTATAAATTCATGCATATATTTGATTACTAGGATTATATTAAAAAAACAAGTTTGCTATCATTTCTGGTCATTTCAGGGACAGTCATGGGTATTTGATTTTCTAGGGATTTTTAAGATTTACCTGCCACTATAGACTGAACCCTCACGTAAAATGTGATCCCTGTGGTATTTTTATGGGGGGGCGGTATCATCTCTTTCTGGTACTCACTAAATTCTTGCCTTGCTTTTGTTTCCCAGTGAAAGAGTTTCAAGTCAACATTACAGGTGAGAGCGTGTTCTCTGAAGGGAACCCGTTAGAATTGGTTTGCCTGGTTGTGGGCAGCAGTCGGGACCCACAGCTTCAGGGCCTTTGGTTCTTCAATGAAATTGAAATTGGCCACATTGATGCTGGTGGAGTCCTGAGCATGAAGAAAGACTACAAAGAGAGAGCTAGTCAAGGGCAGCTCCAGATTTCAAAGTTAAGCTCCAAGGTTTTCTCGCTCAAGATCTTCTCTGTGGGCCCCGAGGATGAAGGCGCCTACAGATGTGCAGTGGCGGAGATGGCGAGAACTCAGATGGGCTCCTGGCAGGTGCTTCAGAGGAAGCAGTCACCAGTCAACCACGTGCGCCTGAGGAAGCCAGCAGGTAAGTGAACTCAGGACCAGATGTGGATGGGGATGCTTTCCGACCCCAGCTTTGTCAGTATGGGATGCCTTCACAGACACAGTAGGGGTCTTCCTGAGGAGTCAGGGGTCAGTCAGCTCATAGTGGAGGGAAAGGAAGGTAGAGGAAAGCACCCCAACTAGTTAGAGACCTGGGCCATTATTTGGGCTGCGACCATACAAACCACTTCATTTCTCTAAATCTCAACCTTTGCATCTACATTGGATTTTTCTTCAAGCAGAGAACTTCATATTATGAAACCTGTGTGTGTGTGGGTGGGTGGGTGTGCTATGTGATGTGAGTAGGTTAAAAAATAAAGAGCTACACTTCCCCTCATCCCCTTCCTTCCTAAAGAGGAAAAACCCTTGTTCTTCTACCTTGAGATTTTTGGAATTTTTCAGTTAGCTTCTGTTAATCCCCTGTTACCTTAACCAGCTTGGGGAAGGGTACTTAGTCAGAATTCTGACTCACAGTAAGAAGTGAAGGGGCCGACCCAGCCACAGTGGCACAGGCAGTAGGGGCTCTGCTGTGTGATGGGGTAGCTATGGGTTTGCTCTCTGGTCTACCTTAATGTGTGCTACACATGCCCATGATCCCAGCTAGCTGCAAGATGGGGATCATGGTATGAAAACCCTGTTGCAGTGTCTCTGTCTCTCCTCTAATCTCTTTCTTGTTTTCTCTCACTCTACTGAAATAATTTTTAAAGAAGAAAGAAAGAGAGAAATGGGGTCAGCTGGTAGCATGGTGGTTAAAGCAGCAGGATCCCACATGGCCCACTTCATGTTTCAAGTCCCATGAAGTCTTTAAAACCATGCTGTGTGTGTGTATGTGTGTGTGTGTATGTGTGTGTGTTTATGCACATGTCTGTCCCCTTCCAAAATGAATGAGAAATGGAAGAGAAGAGATTGCAGTGTGACTGTCCCCCAAAGGCAGTGTTTTCTTGATTTCCCCTTCTCCAGCAAGCACACTCACTCTCTGGCAAATTAAGAGAAATATAAAACAAGGAGCCAGCAGGTGGTGTGGTGGTTAAGGATGCTGGACTCCCACATGGCCAACCTTGGTTCGAGCCCCAGACCTGGTATCTTGCTTTCTCACTTTCCTTCTCTCTCTTTTTCTCTCTCATTCTCATTCTGCCCCTCTCTGGTAAAATTTAAAAAAACAAACAAATAAAATTTAAAAAAGAAAACAAAATACTGAAAGGAATGAAGAGGTAAGTGAAGAGGTGGGTAGAGTCCACCCCTGAATTTTGCAGTGATGTGGTGAGACATCTGTTCCATGGTTCTGACAAAATTAAAACAAACAAATAAATAAAATTTAAAAAAGAAAAAAGAAAACAAAATACTGAAAGGAATGAAGAGGTAAGTGAAGAGGTGGGTAGAGTCCACCCCTGAATTTTGCAGTGATGTGGTGAGACATCTGTTCCATGGTTCTGACAACCTGTAGGCACAAAGCTTAGAAAGTCACCCAGCTCACCTTCACTTTACGAAGTTTGGGTGACCTTAAACACTTTTGCTTAATCAATGCTTTTTGTGTGGAGAAAAAATAGACGAATCCTCAACCAATATCAGGATGCTCTGGGCTGGGTTAAATTCTGTCTAGAAAAGCAAAAAATAAGAACATTTTTGTTGAATTTTAAAAACTGCACCAAAAAAGATATTATTGGTGCACTTGCTCATTGGCAGCGGTGAATCCAGAGGTAGATAAATTTCCCTTTCGTGTTCTCCATCAACCCATTTGCTAGGAATGAAACACACAAGCTTTTGCCCAGAGTGGCAGGCCAACGAAAGTGTGTTGGTGTTAACATTCACACTAAACATTTGGTCTGATTTTCTAGGCTACAGGGAAAACAATGTAGGCGGGTTTACGTATTTACACAGAGCTCACTCTGCTGTGTGTGTCTCAGCCTCCCCAGAAACATGTCTGCAACCTTTCTCATGCCCAGTACCTGGCAATTTGTGCCCAGGAGAGTCAAAGGTGCTTCTCGATGCACAGTGAGTTTCCTGTGGGTAGGGATCATCTGCCAGAGGTGAAAGTAGTTCTTTGCCTAGATTGGAATTCAGCCTGGGCCTAAGATGTAGAAGTGGGATATGTTATTTCAAACATATTAAGGATCCTGTTTGGTGTTCTGCCCCAAAAGTCATTATCTGAAGTATGAGCAGAGTTACATCATTCTGTGAATATTTTACATGGAAAGGAGCACCTATACCACTATAAATGTGTAACTTACACACATTTAGTAGGTTTATTACTTTTTACCAAAGGCAGTCATAACCACAATGAAAAAAACCTCATTTAAAAAAAAAAGTTTTAGTCTAAACCAATCTTAATGATTAAAATAGCAAGATTATGAGTAATAATTTCCTCTCTAATTTCTAAACTTTGGTTATGAATCTGTCTTTCACTTGAAAAAGATTTTTAGATAGACTCATGCCTCTACAACCCCAAATTTAAAAGCAGATTTGCTCTCCCTTTTTTAACCTATTTATAGACATAGCCTTCATGCTGCCTCTGTAACTTCTGTGTATGTATGCACAACACAGTTGAAGACTGAACTTCTTCCTCAGCAGGGAAGACCAATTTGCAGATTCATTTAGATCCTATTTAGATTTCTAATCCCAATTCTATTTTGTTTTTCTCTTCTGCTTTGGACAACCCCTGCTTTCTCCAGTGCCTACCATTAAACACTAATGCTAATAGCTAACCTTCACTGAGGATTTTCCTTAGCCAGCCAGGCTGAGCCTTTTGCATATACCATTTGTTCACATCTTTCAACAATGCAATGAGGTGGGTGCTTCCGTTATCCTCATTTTTACAGGAAAGGAAACAGTAGCTCAGAGAGGTCAAGTATGTTGCCGAGGGTAATTTTGACTCCAGAGGTCTTGGCCTTAAACACAGTGCTGAGGGCCAACAGATGGTATGGTGGTTAGGGCCCTAACTAGCACATGGGTGTCCACAGTTCAAGTCCTGGACCCAGCAACTTGAGACTCAGTGCCAGGTGTGTGTGCATGTGTGCGTGTGTGCGTGCATGCGTGCATGCCCAGGATCCCAAGTGGAGAATAAAGGAGAAGGGATTGTGGCGTGGCTGTCCCCCCAGGGGGTGATTCCTTACTTTCTCTCTCTGTGTTTCTCCAGTGAGCACACACGCCCACTGGCAAAAATCTTTCTAAAAAATGAAACCAAACAAAGCACAATGCTGGGCTGCCTGGGATACACCAGCTCCTGATAGATCTCTGCATGGTCTGCGAAGCAAGAGCACCAGATCTTGCACAATGTTTGTTGAATGAACGTCTGCATTTCTACACACCTCGAATGTCCCATTGGGACCAGGCTCACATTTATTGTTCTACACTGCAGTTCGGACATAGAAGGCTCTCCTTTTACCAAAACTATAGATGTATCTATGCACATATATTTTCCCCAAATAATCGCTTTTTTTAAATTGTGTTATGAACAGACATCTAATTAATAATGTTTCTTCCCTATTTAAGACATACTCAACTATGGGACCAGCAGTTGGCATAATGGCTATATTGCTGGACTCCCATGTAGTCAACTGCAGTTCGAGTCCCAGACCTGTGGCTTAAACTCCTATCAGGCGTGTGTGCGTGCATGCCCAAGATCCCAAGAAGAATGGAGGAGAAGGGATTGCGGCGTGGTCATCCCTCCTGGGGGCTGATTTCTCGCTTTCTGTCTCTCTGTCTGTTTCTGTCTTCCTGGCAAGCACACGTGCCCTATAACAAAAAACCTCTCAAAAAAAAAAAAAAAAAAGAAGAGAGAAAGAGAAAAATAAATAAATAAATAAAACCTACTCAATTATGGCTAATAGAGGGAAGACAAGTAGAGAGAGAATGGTCATTTTGAACTGTTAAGGTCTGAATTCTAAAAGAGAACTTAAATAAACACAGCTTTATTACTTTCAGGTTCATACACCCACCCTAATTAATCTAACAAAATATTTCCAGATGTTAGCCCGACTAGATAGTCTTGAAGGACTGACTTAACAAACGCCTAAAGATAACGTGCAAACTGTAAGTTGTCTAAGTACGGATGGGTTCTCCTGCTATTCTTCCTGCTACCTTGTTTCCACTGTTTAAGTGTTTAGCAAGTCTTCTTTTCTGGAGGTGATGCAAGAGGGAACCACTTGATCTGATTCATCACTAATTAGTCACATCCTAATTAATGACATTTCACTGTGTGTTAGAAGTTTTTCATCTATTTGAACCACTTTTTTCTTCTGACATCTACCGTCCACAGGAAGAAGTGTAATTGTCTCTACCACAAACAAGCAGCAAACTGTGTGGGAAGGAGAGAGACTCGCCCTGCTCTGTAAGGCCAGTGGAGCTGAAAGTCCTCTGTCTGTGAGTTGGTGGCATATCCCACAAAACCAGACACAGCCGGAATTTGTGGCTGGCATGGGGCAGGATGGCATTGTGCAGCAGGGTGCCTCCTACGGGAGACCCGGTTACCATGGCAACACCAGGCTGGAGAAAGTGGACTGGGCCACCTTCCAGCTTGAGGTCACCTCTCCCACCGTCACAGACAGTGGCGTATATGAGTGCACAGTGTCAGAAAGGACCCGGAATCAGGCCAAAGATCTTAGCTGGACTCAGAAGATTGTGATTACTGTAAGATCTCTGAGTAAGTATCAGAGAAATCCTTTTTTGAACTTGCAGAGCAGTCACTGTATTCTGCACTGAAATACAGTGGGATTTGATTGTGTGCCATCATGAACTCCCAGTTATGGTATACGTGCCCCAGGACACCAAAACTCTGGCTACTGTGCCCATCCAATAATCACTAAAGTGTATTCATTTGTATAAAGATTGGCTTTAGAGTACAGCTTATTAGCTGTTCAAAGTAATAAACAAAATCCTATGAATTGGAATCAACTTATGGAAGAGTATAGCTGAGGGTTTTGTGAAGGGACTTTTAAAAGCTTATGAAAAATGGAATTAAAGTATTTGAGTTTATGTTGAAGCGAAATAATTTTGAAACTATGCATAATTTTCTCATAATACACATTTTCCATGAACTTCTTGAAACCACCCCTCCTACCTTCTGGCTTTTGACAACTGCAGCCTTGAGGTTGCAGAGTCTTGTCTAGCTTGAGCAAAAGAGTCTGATACTGAACCCATGAGTGGGGGGAAAAGGAAGGGAGGCCAGACCGCTGGGGCGGGGGTGTGCTTCACCCACTCAACAGCAGCTGTCTCAGCAGCAGGCTAGAGAAACACTGCCTATTTGTTGTCGCTGCTGAGAACAGTCTTAGAAGAGGGTCAGTTTTGGAAAATTGAGGTCAGAATTCAGGACAGACTGTACTGTGAATCAACCTCTACACCAAAATAGTCGATACTCCACATGTGGGAAAAAATGCATGGTCCAACATGAAAAGGTGGCAGCTAGAAAAACTCGAAAGTCCTGTATTTGGTTTGGTAAATATATCAGAAAGTGTGTTTTGCTTTCTGTCTGCAGAGTCAAGTTTACAAGTTAGTCTGATGAGCCGTCAACCACAAGTGAAGTTAAGCAACACCTTTGACCTCACTTGCATGGTGGGGGCCAGCTACTCTGGCCTCATGGTACCACTCACCGTGACATGGCAGTTCCAGCCAGCTCGGTCTCAAGCCTTTCACCAGCTTATTCGTGTCACCCATAATGGTACCATTGAATGGGGAGACTTCCTATCTCAATTCCAAAAGAAGACGAAGGTTTCCATGTCTTCATTTCGTTCTCAACTCCAAATCCATGATGCCTCTGAGGAAGAGACAGGGTTGTATCAGTGTAAAGTAGAAGTTTATGATAGAAGTTCCCTGCACACAAATAGCCCTGTGAGGGCTTCTGCCAGCTCTCATCCATTGAGGATAGCTGTCACTTTGCCAGGTAAGTGCTGCTTTATATTAATCCTGGCTTTTTTATTTTCCTAAAAAAAAAAAAAAAAAAAGAGTACAACAACAAAAACCACAAACATTTCTTCCATTTGGGGTAAATTATAGAAATCAGTCATAAAATACCCTCTTACCATGTGTGTACTGCCCAGTAACCACTGCTCTGTGTCCTTACCCCGCCTTCCCCTAAGTTTTCCCAACCAGCAACTGAAGGGCACTGCGTGGCGCAGCAGGGGTCCCTGGGCCCAGTGCAGAGGTAATCTTTTGTATTGTTCACTGCCCATGCCTTAGCTGTTAGTAAAACCCTTCACTAGAGGTAAAGATAATGTAAATTCCATTACAATACACTTACCTACTTATTTTTAATGTGTCCATGTATAAGAGTCAGACAATATGTGATTACAGTCAAATAGACCCTATGTTGTGAGTTGATAATAGAGCAGGGAACGTGAAAGGAAGACACAGCCTAGGCAACATTCTGCTGTGTCGTTCGTGTGTGTTCTCTCTCATAACTTGTATTCTCTCAGGGCAGAGTGATTGAGAAGCAGTGTTCATTTAGATCTGCCAGTCGCTGACCAGCAGCATGGCTTTAGACAAGTCACTTAGTCTGCCCATGCCTTAATTAGCCCATCTGTAAATTGTCGATGTGTGATTTAGCGTGGCGACATACGGAGCATGCCTTGGGCAATGCCTGACATACAAGCAGATTCTCCAGCAGTGTGTCACATTTCCTCTGCTGTTGTGCAATGCTTTTGGTAATAGTAATGGACTCTTTATTTATTAATTCTTGCCTTAATTTTCTGATCTTTTCTCTGGCACTTGAAATGACTGCTCCAATCCTTTCTTGAAACTTCTTTTTTCCTTAGCCCCCATGACACAAAATTTTCTTGGTTTCCTTTATAGTATGAACTGTTCCTTTTGGGTCTTTTTTTTAATTTTATTTATTTTTATTTATTTATTTTTTGGGAGAGGTTTTTGCTATAGGGTACGTGCACTCGCCAGAAAGACAGAGATAGAGAGACAGAAAGTGAGAAATCACCCCCAGGGGGGATGGCCGTGCTGCAATCCCTTCTCCATTCTCCTCTCGGGATCTTGGGCACGCACACACATGCGCCCAGCATGAGTTTTAAGCCACTGGGTCTGGGACTCGAACCACAGTTGACTATATGGGAGTCCAGCGACATATCCATTACGCCAATTGCAGGTCCTAAAATTTAATTAAATTAAATTATTTATTTTTACAGAATTCTCTTTCTCTACTACATTCTTTTTTAAAAAAGCATTACTTTGGATTTTGTTTTTTATAGAACAAAATTTTTTAAAAAAACTTTTTTTTCTACAGAATTTTCCTTCAATACTTTATTCTTTTTTTTTGGAGAGGTTTTCACTGTAGGGTGCATGCGTGCGCCAGACAGACAGAGAGAGACATAGAGACAGAAAGCGAGAAATCACCCCCCAGAGGGGATGGTCACGCCGCAATCCCTTCTCCTCCATTCTCCTCTCGGGATCTTGGGCACACACGCACACGCACCCGGCGTGAGTTTTAAGCCACCGGGTTCGGGATGCGAACCACAGTCGACTACGTGGGAGTCCAGCGACATAGCCATTACACTAACTGCTGGTTCCCTATACTTTATTCTTTAAAGAAAAGTATTATTTTGTTCTCTTCTCACTCTACAAACTCTCATGAGTTAGACTCATCCTAGCCCTTGGGAACAATCTGTATGCTGACGACCCCTAAATCCAGTATCCTGAAAGACTTCTATTTTGATCACCAGACACATATATCCAGGGGTCCCCAGACCCAGGCCACAGACTAGTACTGGTCCTGGCCTGTTAGGAACCAGGCTGCAGGGCAGAAGGTGAGTTGCAGGCAAGCAAGCAAACCTTGATCTGTATTTACAGCTGCTCCCCATTGCTTGCATTACCACCTGAGCTCTGCCTCTTGTCAGATCCACTGGGGCATTAGATTTTCATAGGAGTGCAAACCCCATTGTGAACTGTGCATTCAAGGGATCTAGGTTGCACACTCATGACAGTCCAATGCTTGGTGATCTGAAGTGGAGCTGAGGCAGTGATGCTAGCTCTGGGGAGCAGCTGCAAATACTGCATTATGGTGAGTTGTATAATTATTTCATGATATATTGCAATGTTATAATAATAGAAGTAAAGTACACAATAAATGTAATGTGCTTGAGTCATCTGAGAACCATCCCCAACCTACAGTTTATGGAAAAATTGTCTTCTACAAAAGTGGTCCCCAGGGAACCAGCAGTTAGTGTAATGGCTATGTCGCTGGACTCCCACGTAGTCGACCGCGGTTCACATCCCAGACCCGGTGGCTTAAAACTCACACTGGGCGCGTGTGCATGCATGCCCAAGATCCCGAGAGGAGAATGGAAGAGAAGGGATTGCAGCGTGACCATCCCCTCTGAGGGGTGATTTCTCACTTTCTGTCTCTCTGTCTCTCTCTGTCTGCCTGGTGAGCGCATGCACCCTATAGCGAAAGCCTCTCAAAAAAAAAAAAAAAATGGTCTCTGGTGCCAAAAAGGCTGGGGACTGCTGCATGTATCCAGCTTCCTCCAAGATGTGTCTATACTCACTATGTCAAAATGGAAACCCACTGTTATCACCCAAAGCTACTCCTACCTTGTCCCTTATGTCCTTACACCACCCACCAGAGACGCAATTTGGAAACACGAGTCATACACAGCTCCTCTATGCCCACCCCGCATCCAAATTCCCAGGGCATGACATGCAAGGTCTTTTATAATCTGGTATATTTATGTCTTTCCAGCATCATCTCTTTCAATTTCCCAACGTCCCATACCGAATTACATGTAGCTTCTCAATATTCCATGTTCTCTCCTATTTTCAAAGTCTTTGTTCAATGTGCTTCTTTTGTGTGGAACCCTTTCTTCATCGGAAGAATTCCTATCAATCCTTAAGGCCTACTCAGAGTTCTCCCTTCCAGGAAGCCTCCTCTTACTCTTATATTTAGGGCAGGTGGCGCTCCTGTGTGTCCTGATAGTCACTTCTGCATGTCTCTGTCCCACTTGGACGAAATGATGTTATCATCTCTACATGTCTGTCCCTGTACTTGTCTCTCCCTCTAGACTGCGAGCCACTGAGAGCAATCTACAGAGCCTAGAATAGTCTGACAGATAATATCACGTGGTCTTAATAAATGTTTCTTAAAGAAGTGAAAAGAAATGAGACATTGATAATATCAATGAGTAATTACAAGTAGAATCCGTGATGCCAGGAAAAAGTTATAATAAATTTTGGGAGCAGGGTTTATCACTCATCTTTCTTTGTTTCTTTCTTTGTTTTAGAAAGATTTTTTTTTTTTTTGCAATAGGGTGCATGCACTCACCTGAGAGACAGAGACAGACAGACAGAAAGTGAGAAATTAACCCCCAGGGAGGATGGCCACACCACAGTCCCTTCTCCTCCATTCTCCTCTCGGGATCTTGGGCACACATGCATAGGTGCCCAGTGTGAGTTTTAAGTTGCTGGGTGTGGGACTCAAACCGCCATCAACCATGTGAGAGTCCAGAAACATAACCATTACACCAATTCCTAGTCCCAATATCACTCATCTTTCTGACAAATCATAACAGCTGCTGGAGTTAAAGGCTAGTGCCTCCATAGCTACACAACGTTCCCAGAGGCATCCAAAAGGCATGCAATTTTAATAGCCCACGTACCATTTCCTTTTGTTTACCCATGTTCAAAGGCAGATACAGCTAGACTTTGTCAATTATAAATCCAGAAGTATTCTAGATAGTGAACATACAGACAAAGCATTAACAGGGCCATTTTCCCCCAATTTGATACATGAAATGCTACAGAAAAGATGTCTTTGCTTCCATGCTAAAGCATTGCCATACAATAGATTGGGCTTTTCTGTATGACATTTCTTTCACCCAATCCTCCCCACCCAGCAAGGGTAGAACTAGATCAGTGGATGAAAGTTATGAAGAGATAAAATTCAACTTGATATCAGAGAGAATTCTCTTGTGGCAAGGCTGTCCGAAGATCCAGTGAGCTGCCTGGTTGAATGCTGAGTTGTTCAAAGGCTGAATGAGCAGCTCATGGGCTGCTGTAGAGAGAATTCCTACAGATGATGGCCATAGAAAGTATCGCCCTACTTGGGAACCAGCAGTTAGTGTAATGGCTATGTCGCTGGACTCCCACGTAGTCGACCGCGGTTCGTGTCCCGGACCCGGTGGCTTAAAACTCACGCCGGGCGCGTGTGCGTGCGTGCCCAAGATCCCGAGAGGAGAATGGAGGAGAAGGGATTGCGGCATGACCATCCCCCCTGGGGGGTGATTTCTCGCTTTCTGTCTCTATGTCTCTCTCTGTCTGTCTGGCGAGTGCACACGCCCTATGGTGAAAATC